ATTGTACTTTTAAAGTTTCAAATGTGCGCATGTCTTGTAGGATGTTTGTGCAATAGTTACAGTGCAACTACGTGAAGAAAGTTAAATAAAGTCCGATCAAATAGTGTAGTAATTGAGGTGGAAATATGTGATATATAGAAATTGCAGTGAATTTCATCAGAAATAAATCAGTTACAGCCAGTTGAGGCGATCAGTCTCATTTACCTTCTTTTCTAAACTAAAGAGCCATAAAAAAGGAAAACGTACACCTAGCTTCTTATACTTTGATGAGCCACTAGTATGAAAATAGAATATTTTAATTATATTTTCAGAACTGAGTAGGATAAGGTGATGTGCTCGACAGCAGATCAATGCAGGCAATAACCATTTTTCTTTCTCGTTGAAAAATAGGACTGCTCATCGAATGTTTGAGAACTGATTAAAATAGCTGAAGATGCTTAAGCAGATACATTTAAACATGTAACATATTTTGATTTCAACTACGCCTGGGACAATTGTCCAGAATGAGTCCATTCTTTCTGACAATTTTTAAGACAAGATTTTTCTTAAAAGAAAGGATGCCTTTTGGTTTCCTTGTCAGGAAGGCAGAATCTGTCCATCTATTAGAAAGAGGAACTGGAGATGAATTTTTTTCCCCTTATGTTTGTGGCATCTATCAAATTTGGCCCCTCAGCTGAATGGGGAAGTCTAACTGGGTTTGTCCCAGACTTCTCAGGAAAGTTGGCATAAATTTTTAACAGTTTGTCTAAATATTCCTATCATGAAGCATCTGAAGATGTTTTAATACAAACGTAATAGATTTGTTTTCTCATGAGCTGCTATTTAAATAGTCATTTATAATAAATATTTATGTGTGTATAAATAAAATATTAATTGCCTGAAATGACATTTTAATGTGGTACTATCAGTGAAATGCTGCATGGCACAAGGCTGCCTCACAAAATATTTTGGAAGTTCTGACTCTACATCGGTACCACCAAGGTGGCGTAAGGGACAGGTATAGCTTTGGGTGTGTTTCGAGGGCTACTTTTGGACAGAAGCAAAACCCCTCCAGATGGTGGGATTGTTAGAAATGCCATACCATGAGCAAGTCAACAATCTCCCTCCTTTTCCTTCTGCATAGAAACTACTAGAAATGAAAACATCTAGACTGTGACTAATGCTTTACATGATGGACGATTCCATTGTTCCCTCTCAGGCACTGGTTCCACGGCCTCTAGTCTCTGGCCTTCTGGATGAGAGAACTTTCGGGAGGAAAAGGCCAGAGGCTTGACTGATATCCAGGCTGCTCCCAGCTTGTGCAACTAGCTGTCTTGTGCCAAGGCCAGATTGCATTACGAAATGGTAGATAAGGAGAAAGGAAGAAAAGACTGTAAACAGCCTCTGCTAAGTTTTGTTCTGGATAAGAAAGAAAGAAAAAAAGCTTTAAAAAAGCTAATGAAAGCCTGTTGACATTTTTTTTTGAACTAAATATCTGTCTGTTATTCACCTGCCCAGGAGCAAATGGAACCTCTATGGGCCTCAAAATCTCCATCTGTGAACTATGAAAATGAGTACGTGCTATTTACATATTTTTTTAGGGACACTAATGAGAGCAACAGTTTATTTTTATTTATTCATTAATTGATTCAATTCATAAACTTCCACCATCTGCTACAAAGATTCAATTAACTAATTGTTATATCCCAGTCTGCAAGTATAATATATTATAAAAGTGCTAAAATGGTAGAGGCAGCAGGGTACATGAGCAAGGTTGGGTGGTTTTTTTTTTGGAAGAATATATCACACTTTTACTTTGCACTTATCTTCGAGCAAATTTGAATTTTGTGAATCTTCTATGTTATGTAAAGGGAAGTCTACCCAGTGGGCAATGACAGACTTTGATTATTGGCTTAGCTTTACTGTGTACCATCTGGTGCCCTGAATGAATTTTCTAGTATCTTTGAGCCTTGGTTTCTGCATTTATAAAATGAAGATGTTGGATTAGATGCTGATCCTGGTAGGAATGTTAATAATATCTTACAGATATTTAATTTTTTATTATTTAAAAAGTTCTTTTTGGTTATAATATTTAACTTGCATTCATACCACTAGTGGGTGACAGGTCAAGGATTGAAATCTAGGCATTCTCCTTTTTTTTTTTAACTTTCAGGTAATGTTGCTTTTCTAATAATAAAGCAGGTCCCAACTGCATATTTTCTAAGTAGGTGGTTTCCAAAAACTCTTTCAGCTCAAAACTTCTGTTATTTCTATCATTTCTAATTGTTTCTTTTGTCCTTTGACCATTTCTGCAGCAGAGTGCTCTGAAAGGCTTTCCTGTTTCTGTCTGTCATTGAAAGGTTTCTCTTTTCCACTCTAAACGTAACAGCATTTGTTGTCAGGGATGCAATTCAGTTGATGATATGGGTCTCCAAGAAAGACAATGTAGAAAAGGCAGAAATGTGCAGTGTCAATTTGACGTCAACGATGTTATGGTTGAGAATGTTGGCATTATGAGTACTTGAAAATGTACGTGGCTGCTGCTAAACCTTATTATTTACAACTCATTTCTTATGAGTCGAGTCCCAGTATTCAACATGCAATCTGCCAATTGCATTGTATCAAGTTTCATAAAAGAAGGCAGTAAACATACAGAGACCTGTTGCATGGTCCCCTAGAAACCAATCCTCTGCATAGTGCTCTATGAAATTCTGTTTTGATTAGGTTGTTGCATCTGGGACAGAACTGCAAATAGTGTTTGGCAGAGGAAAAATGCAGACCTGTATAATGCTGAGATTAAAGTCTGTCCAATAATACAAGCATGTCAGTTGGGACAGGTCCTGTATTTATAGCAGAAAGGCCACTGAGTGAGAATTCATCACACAGGTTCAAGGGAGGTAGTGTCAATTACTTTGGGACCTTTTGTGATAACACTGGATGGACCACTGAGAAAGCGCCATATTTAATCTATTTCCTGCTTAAGTGGACAAAGAAACAGTAAATACAATAGGAAATAATCCTACTTGGGCAGAAGGCAGAGAGGAGGAAGATGGGCAAAAATGACCTCATGCTGCAGATCTTCTACACTTATTTTTATGATCCTATGATGTGAGAGTCTAATTAATAGGGTGACTTCTCGGAGTATTTCATGCTCTGTGCCTTACGTAACTCTTTCAGTTGGCAAATTATATGGCTTAAACTGCCATGCAGAAAGAGAAAGTAAGAAGTGAGGGAGTGAAAGTAATGGGTTCTTGAATTAATGAGTTTGATCAGGGGCACATCCTTGGTAGGGGATCAAGCTCTGATATCTTATGTATTTTTTTATCCTACAGCAGAGTGACTTTTCTATTAATTAGTTTCTTGGTCAAGCACCGCGTGATTGTGTGGCTATAAGAGAAAGAGAATGAAAAGCCATGTGTGAAATAATCACGTGCTAAAAGGAGATTCACTAAATTTGCCTATACCGTGTATGAGGCTCTTTGTAACAGGTCGGATTATCCCTCAGATTTACAGATCTAATAAGCATAATTGACAGATCCTGCATGTGACCACAGGTGGGAACAGCTGGTGGGTACTTGCCAAGAGCAACACATTTAACCAGCTGCCAGTGGAGCTTGCCAAAGCAGGGTCACCATGGAGCAGCTGGTCTTGTGGATGTGAAGCTAAAAATCTGTCACTAGTACTTCCCGATTGTCACCAGCTAACTAATATTCCAGTAGGTCCTAACTTAAGAGGAGGGAGGGGCGTAGGAAAGTTCACACATCATTTCTGAGCATGAGCATGTCCAGAAAATGTCTTCAGCCTCCAAGAGGGCTGTTTCTTTGACTGTGGAGATGCACCTGCCACAGCGATCACCATCAGCATCAATCTGATCTTCTTAGCTGTGGTTTCTTGTACAAGGATGTGCCATCTAATTACAAGAGAAACTCCAGAGGTGATGCTTTTGTCAACAAGAGAAATCTGGAGACCTCCAAAGTGATGATTTGCCCTTGTGGACTGTAATTGTGGTTCTTTGAAAGGAGTTAGATTTTCCGGGTGTAAATAATTAGCTTAAACCTCAATGTGATATGGCATAAGGGTAAGATCTATGCTTGCTGCAGGGAAACAGAAAATAACCTCACATAGCACACATCCATTGTACGTTTCATATCTCATCCTCCTTACCACTTCCTCCTGCTTTTGGCTTTCTCTCCTACAGCTTCATAATATAGTTATTCCAGCCCAGTGTGACCCAATTGATGATTGAAATAAAACATGGAATCTGTGTGCTTCATTAATAAGATGTCTTGTTTTCTACTAATGACCAATAAACATCATGAGACACATCATATAACACATCCCTTGTTTCTTTGTGACCGAGACAGAGCTTCCCTTTACTTTATAGGAATTCACAGAAACTAATCTATTCTGGCCTCTTTTATGGCCAATTATTTTGATATAATATAATACAAGGGCAGAGAGCTGGCAATCTCTCTATGCCAGTTGTATTTAAAACATAACCCTGGTTTGGTCCCCAGTGTGACGATTTCTTAGATGCCATGAAGCCATTGTTTCAGAAGGCTATATAATACTGACCTAACAATAATACTAATAGGCCATTGTATCCATTTTTAAGTTGTACTCCTCTCTCTTTCTTGCATATCTGCCCTTTCTGCTTGGATTATAGACTGGGTTTTTTAAACCTAATTCCAGACATCCTGAAAAACTTCATTTCCTGCTACTCCTCCACGCATTAGGCAAAAGTTACACAGGATTCCTCAAATACTGCAGCAGATGCTGGTAATTGTCCCTTGCTATACATGCTTCTCTACCTCCTTTCCATAACAAAATCCCTTGGATTTTAACTGGCTATGGGTTCAGTTAGAAACTACATCTCCCAGGCTTCCTTGAAATTTGATGTTATTAAGTTCAGTAAATGGGATGGGAATGGAAGTGATGTACAACTTCTAGGTCATGATGTGAAAAGAGGAAATTGATTGTGTTCCATGTCTCTTCCTCCTTTCCTATGGGCTGGAACACAGCCCCAGTACTGGTGAATGCTGGCAAATGGCAAAGAAAGAAAGAAGGAATCTGAAACCCTGCTGACCTCATGGAGCAGAGCTGTCTACTGGCTCCAGACTGCCCGCCTACAACTGGACAGAGAAATAAATACACTGCTGTCTTGTTTGAATCACTCTATATTTCAGCCTCTTTATTACAACAGCTTAGCTTTATACCCTAATATATACCTTCCTCTTTCCGGTCTCCATATCTTTGTTTCTGCCATTCTTTCTTCAGGAAATGTCCTTAACTATCTAGTGACCATCTACTTACATTTGTAGGTCCAGATCAGGCGATTCTCCCTCGACTCTGCCATGTGAGTGCAGAATTTTTCACAGCTTTGTCTGTGCTCTTATTAAGTTCTTATCACAGTGGATTGTGCAGAGCGTGCTGTGTAATGTCTTTGCGGTTAGGCTGTTGGGTTTCTCAAGATGAAGGGAGATGTCCTTCTATACCAGAACCTGGGCCCTCCATAAATATTTGTTGGAAGAATAACTGCCATAATATCAATAATAATAATAGTAATAATATACTGTAGTCATTTTTAAGTTATACACTTCCATGGATTTCATATGCTACTTTTAAATAACTTTAAAAGTCAATGTGCACTTCTGGGTATATACACAAGGAAAATGAAATCAGTATCTTGAAGAGATATCTGCATTTCCATGTTCATTGCAGCATTATTTACAATAGCCAAGATATGGAAACAACCTATGTACCCATCGACAGATGAATTAAAAGAATGTGAGATATATGTATGTATGTAAACACACACAATGGAATATTATTCGCCTTTAAAATAGAAGGAAATTTTGTCATCTGCAATAACATGGATGAAGCTGGAGGACATTTTGCTTAGTGAAATAAGCCAGATACAGAAAGATAAATACTGCATGCTCTCGCTTATATGTGGACTCTAAAAAAGTCGAACTCCTAGAAGCAGAGAGTGGAATGGTGGTTACCAGGCCTTTGAGAGTGGGGGAAATCGGGAGGTGTTGGTCAAAGGGTACTAAGTTTCAGTTATGCAGCATGAATAAATTCTGGGGATCTAATGTACAGCATTGTAACTATAGTTGATAATACTGTATTGTATACTTGAAATTTGCTGAGTAGATTCTAATTGTTCTCACTAAAAACATGATGACTCTGTGTGAGATAACGGATATGTTAATTGACTTGATTGTGGCGATCATTTCACAATGTATATGTAAATCAAACATCACATTGTATACCTTAAATATATACAATTTTTATTTGTCAACTATACCTCAAAGCTGGGGAAAAAAGTTAGTGTGCTAATCATCATCTAGAATACTTTAGGAAAGCTCCATAACTTTTTATACTATTTCGTAAAATGAGGCAGTTGGGTTAGATTGGAGGCTACAGCTGGCAGTTGTGGATGAATTTCTGGGTTTTGGTTTGTTGGTTTGTTTTTTGGCCCATACTCTGGTTCTCAGTGAAATACATGTACTCCCTTGGACGTCATTTCCAGGTATCCCAGGCTAGTTGTCAGATGTCTATACTCTTCTCTTGCACATCAAAGACTATCATAGAGGTCTTCTGGAGAGATTTATGGTTTCTCTAGTTATGGTACACTTGCTGGGAGGGCAGTGGACGTGGGATTTCAGAGAAAGAGTGAAGATGAAGGGATAGCTGTGAAACAGACTGCTTTGAATAGACGATATCAGTGTGTACAGTAAGTCCTTGCTGGCCATATGGATGGACAAGTTCTAGCTGTAGAGTATTCCGAAATGGAAGTTCTTGTGTAGAGCTTGTTGATACATTCATTCCTCTAGCCTTTCTCCTGTGCATGACAGGCAGTACAGGGCTGGATATGGCTGTGCAGAATTGGAAAACACTTTCCAGAGCTGGAATTTGACATGGGCTGTAGTTAGAGCTAGTGGGTGCTAGGGAGCCTCAGAGATGAAAGAATTTCTTTATAAGCACAATGATGGCAGTGAAAATGGAACAGCCAATGCCGGACATAATGAGGTGTCCCTTCCCACATGAATGGGGTTGTGACTGCAGAAGGGAACACATCCATATAGTGGTGATGTGTCAAAGAAATGCTATGTAGTTATAAGCAGTGATCTTTATGGCTTCTAGGCTAATTCATGTTCTGGAAACAGATATTAAAGGTGACCAGTGATGTTGAGGGCACACCAAGGTCCTAAGGAACACATCAAGACTTGAGTGGACTGCACTGCAGTGGGCTACTGGGATGATTTACAACAGAGTGTATGCCTCTTTTGCTGAGATATGGAGTCACTTTGGTGTAATGAATGTCCTCTGGGAGTTCTAGAACCTACCACTGCTGAAAACAGACATCTATCTGCTGCTCAGTCAAGTTTGGCTTAGTTAGCTGCAGCTATTGTGTGTTGGTGATAAAGTTTTTGGCACAGAAGCTTTCTCAAGCGGGGCAGCCTCTGCCAGCTTGTGTGAGGGCTTCTTCCCTATGATTCTGCTCCCTAAAGTATAGATAAGGTAGAAGTAGAGCTAAGGGAAGTGATAGCCTTTCAACTGCATGCTCGCCTCACCGGTGTGAGCTTAGCTTCTAATTTTGACTCAGCTGCTTCTGGCTATAGAGTGAGCCTTATCTTTTCAGGTGAGTGGGATTCTGTGAAGCAGTGACTCCAAGCCTTAATTTTTGTCAATTCAAGCTTCATTGACTATTTGTAAATGACCAATAAGGTCCTTGATTTCTAATAGAACCTGGTTCTTGGGGAAGTTAGTACAGAGCTGAGTTGTCCCTGTTAAAAATCTCTAGTGAAATAATGGCCCATGGTAGTGTTGGAGAGCTCAAGGATGTAAGATTGAGTTGAAGGAGGTTTGAGGTAGACCTGGACCTTCAAAGGTTAGGATGCCCCAGCCATAGCTTCAGATTGGACATACCCCTAAAAAGATTGATAATTGGTGCAGAGAAACAGTAGGCCCAATGGACTCCAAGTGTCCTTGAATACCTTAAACCATACTCGTGGATTTCCATTCCAGGTTTCTAGATTCCTTGCCTGAACTTGGAGACTCTATGGCTATACAAGTCCTCGAAATCCCCCCTCCAAGGTTTCAAATTTGTCTCTTTGTTTGACCTCTTCAATCCAGGACTTCATGAATGATGGATGAGGACAAACCCTGAACTGTGAAGTAATTAGGAGGTCACAAAATAGGATGGATGCTTCAGATTAGAGGTCTTCTTTGATTCTGTGTACTAGCCAAATGAAGGCAGGAGTGAATTTCATGGCCCAAATAGCAATTCCGCATTGCCCAAGACATATTTCGAAGACAGGCTTCCATTTGTCTACTTTTTAAAAATCAGAATGTGCTTGTATTTAGCCTGACTGTTAAGATTCATGGAAAAAGGAGCTCTGTGAAGTTTATCCAGGAGCCTGGGATTCATCGGTGGTGAGAAGTCCTCCTGGATAGTGAGTGAACTGGGGCGAAGGGACAGCTTCCTGTTCATCTTCCACAGAAAGAGTGCAGAGGCCTCCCCAAGAAAGCTGGAGAGCCTGTAGAACTCTTGGAAAATGTTTCCTCATGCCAAAAGTCCTTGGCTTCAGATTCAGACAGCCACTTTCCTGCTTGGCAGGAAAAGGAGAACCCCCAGAAATCAGGCCTGTGGTTATCTGGAAAATAATTACTAACTTTTTCCATCTACCAGGCAGTATTCTATGTGCTTTGTATTTATTATTTCATAAAATCCTCACTTGTCTTATGAAATAGATGCTATTATTATTACTATTATTATTATTAAAATATTATTTTATAGGTAGGAAAACTGAGGCCTGGGGAGTTTAGGTAAACTGTACAGGAGTACACAGATGGTGAGGAATAGGGGATAGGATTTAAATGTGAGAAGTTTGACCCCAGAGCATGAGCTATTAACCTTTGATCTGCAGCTGCCTGGGTTCATTTTCTTTCTCTGGCCTCCAGACTGGGTCTGTTGAAACAATAAAGAGATATGCCAAGAGGTAAGCCAGATCCCAAGGTGTGCTTCAAGGATGACACCCAACTTTATAATTTCCTAGGACCTTGCTGTTCTGGTCCTGGGATGGCGAAGGAAGGATATGAAGACATATTTGGACTGTGGGGGCTCTCTGGGAATTTCTTTCTATAACAACTATCCTCTTGGTTTATTTTCTCATTTTCTCTTAAATTGCCTTTTTCTCATTTCTTGGATGTGACCAAATGGGTCAAGTCAACAGGAGTATCGTCTTCCTAGCCAGACTCCAGCACTCTTCCCTCCATCCACTCCCATCCCTCTCAGTGCTCCCAGAGTGACCTCTGCCATCACAATCCCCTTAGGTCATTCTACTCCTTAGGATGCTTGCATGAATTTCAAGTCTTTATAATATATTTCAAACTCCTTGACTGGGCACACCATGCCCTCCATGATTAGAACCCACTTACCTCTCTGGGCCCGTGTCCCATGGGTCCCCTCTTTCCCTCCCACCCCAGACCCATCTTCACTCCCATACTTAACCAAAGGAAAGCACTCTCAGCATAGCATGGTATTTTGCGTCTCCATGAAACAGCACATGTCACTCCCTCTGCTCGCAACTTGAGAATACAACCTTCCTCCACTCCAGTCCCCCCAACATCTTTTATGAAGCTGTTATTCATATTTTAATATCAAATTAAATATGATTTCTTCTCTTACATTAAAGCCTTCATAACTGACTGATGCATCTGTTCCTCCCCCAGGCTCCTATAGCACCCTGTGAAGAAGACAAGCTCTGGGGTTAGACCATGAGATTTCACACTCTAATTAGGAAATATATAAGCTTTATGAACTTGGACCTAAAAAGGTAGATTCTCTAAGTCTCGATCTCCTCATCTATAAGGTGGGGTTCCTAAAAGGATTTTCCACATTGAGTTGTTGGGAAGGGTAAATGTTGTAGAACATGGAAGTCGCTTAGCTCAATGCCAAGGACAGAGTAAACAGCAGATAAGTGATAGCTGTTATCGCTGTTATGGTCATCCTCCTATTCATCTCACTGTTGGGTAATCATCGACCCACGTGCGTGTCTTCTTCTCTAGACGTGCACTTCTTGAGGATACTGTCTGTGTAATTGGATTTTATATTCCTAGCACCTGGCACAGTGCCTGCCATGTAACAGGTGCTCAATAAAC